AACTACCTGAAAGGGGGTTCCAAAGAGGATGGCTCTAGACTGTTCTCAATGGTATCAGATGACAGAACGAGGAGTAATGGTCTCAAGTTACAGTGGGGGAGGTTTAGATTGGATATTAGGAAAAACTTTTTCACTAAGAGGGTAGTGAAACACTGGAATGCGTTACCTAGGGAGGTGGTAGAATCTCCTTCCTTAGAGGTTTTTAAGGTCAGGCTTGACAAAGCCCTGGCTGGGATGATTTAACTGGGAATTGGTCCTGCTTTGAGCAGGGGGTTGGACTAGATGACCTTCTGGGGTCCCTTCCAACCCTTATATTCTATGATTCTATGATTCTATGACTGATCCCTATCATGTGATGAGGGTATTTGCCTTGAGATCCTTGCTCCCCTACTTGATACAACACTGTATTATTTTAGTCCTGAACCTCCTCACAGCTCTGCCAGTGCCCCTTAATCCTGCCCTGCTGTCCCCTCCTCCTGGTTAGTCCTGTATCCTTTTGAACCGGAGAGTGCCAACTGAGACTAATTATATTTTTCTTTTCCATGTGGAAAAATAAATATCTATGTACTAAACTGAGACCAGCAAACTCATTGTCTCTGTGACCTAAGGCCTGTTGTAGCCCAGCTCGTTTGAGGCGAAAAAGCAGTGCCTAATCCCATCTCTCTCGTAAGTGTTTATTCCGATACTTAATGCTCATTGTTCAAATACAGCCAGCGAGGTTGTTTTTCTTGCTGAGTGATGTGGTGAGTAGGAGTGTGAGCAGACGTGATCTCAGTGGAGTGCACCACCTGGAACAAAAGTCCTAATGAGGCTGCACTATCTGAATTCCTGATTCCATCACTCCAGACCCTGATTAAATACCTCACCAGAGGAGAGCCTGTCAGGTTCATCTTAAGACATCCACAGCCTCATGCACCCCCTTGTAATCACACTCACTCTCAGTAGCACTCCCAAATCCACACAGGCACACGTGGATGCACCTGACATTGCACAAAGCTTCACAGTCTCATACCTAGTTCAGGACCTAATGTTAAAAGGGGCTATTTTGACAGCATGCAAACCCTGCCATTTGGACGACTATCTATGGATACAAAATCACTGGTGCAGTGAATTCTGAGTGCAAAAAAATCACTAGTGCAATATACTGTGGGTGCCAAAACTGTTGGTACCATTAATTGCACATGCAAAAGTGCACCTGCAAAACATGGGGCTGCCACACAGAAGCTGGCCTTTTGTCTCACACACAGTTGCACACGTATGTTTTCTGTCACAATCACAGCCACATTTGCACGGTCTCTCACATACACACACACACAAACACACACAATTGTACCCTTCACCCCTTCAGTTCACTAGTGTTGGAAACATCCAGCTGTGTCTGTAACAGACCCAGTTCCCAATATGACAGCCTCACTCGGCACTGCGGGCTACTAAATTGGTCTTAATTCAGTCTAATTCCACCCACCACCTTAGTCATTCTTCACTGCAGGCAGGGCTGGAAGAGTGGTGGGAGGCAAATGAACATTAGATTCTCACAGGAAGGAGAGAACTCAGAAGCTACTTCCCTTAAAAGCCCTGCTGAGTGGTTTGGGGTGCCTGAGGCTGGGCTTTCTGTTCTGGGAGTGCAGAAAACAAGGGTTCCTCAAGCCAGGTCTCCACTCTGGAGAATGGGGACAATGCCTGGCTCACTGGAGGGGAGAAAAGCAAAGATACTCCAGGCTGGCACTCTGCTCCCATGCTGGGGAGAATGGGCATATGCCATAATCGGTACCCTCGCTAACAACTGTACTAATAAAAAACGCAAGTCCTCCCCTGAGGGCTGAGCCTTTTCTCTGTGCACTTGCCCTTGCAAGCTGGGAATGGCTGGAATAGCAAGCTGGATGCGAGGGAAGGGGGCCTTCTACTGAGCCCTCCCCAAAAGTGGCTGACTGATAGCTCCTACCAATGGGGCTGTGGAGAAGGAGCACAGGGAACACCTCCGGCACTTGGGGGAAGAGTGTGAGGGGGCAGCTGCTGGAGTGTTGGCATTCACAGGGTGGAACTGGACAAAACGGACTGACCTTGAACAGAGGCCATCTGACGTCAAGGACGAGACTTGTTTGGTCTCTTTAGAGGCAGCGAGGGGGAGGGAGTAGGGTGCCTGATATAGGCTGGCCCAGGCAAGGAGGGAGCTTTCTTATTCACCGCCACACTGGTTAACAAGGCTGGAATCGGGTGCTGGGAACAGAAGTGACCTAGTGTGAGCTATCCCTCGAGGGCCTGTCAGTGTGTCTTGGTTACTACTCCTGAGCCCTCTCTAAAGCATTATCATATTAGTTCAAGAGATGGGCCTGGATCACAGCCCTCTGGCAAGCCCACACTTCAGTGTGGTTGCAGTCCACACCATGGTCCACCTACAAATGCCATGGCTTGCCCCTGGCAACACACACAGAGCACTCAGCAAGGTCCAGGCCCTGCTTAAATCAAAATGATCCACTCAAAGATAAAGCGATGAAGAGACATTGGGAAGTGGGCAGATGTGCCAAAGGAAAGGGGTAGCCTGAGGGAACAAGAACAGAGGTGGAGCCAGGCATGGTGAGGAGAAAAGAGAAGGAGCGTGGAGTGAGTTGAGGGGAAAGAGAGGTGCAGGATGGAGGCGGGTGATGGTGAAGTGACTGGGACAGCAGGAAAGAGAGATGGTCCCAACGAAAGTGCTTTAGCTGGTCTGGAGGGATGGGAGAGATGCTGAGACGCCTGAAGGCCAGAGATCAAGAGGTTGTGGTCAAGGGGAGTTGTGACTGATGTCTACAATGCAGCAGGAGGCGTAATGACGTGGGTAGACACATCTCTGCTAGCTCTGATTGAGTTAGCACACTAACCATAGTAATGTAGCCACAGCAGATGAGCAGAGGGGACTAGTTCCCCACTCCAGGTATGTGCTCAGGCAGCTTTGGCTACATTGCAAGTCTCAGCACGCTGGCTGGATGAGCAGGAGCCCGGGTAAGTCTCTTCAGGCTGGAAATTGCTTCTTCCCACTCTAGAGTAGCCAAACTCTGAGGCATAGCCTGTGGTTCAAGCTATAGGGACTATAAAACAGAACTCAAAGTGACAGAACTTCTCAAGAGCCTGCTAGATAACAACCCCTGAGGAGCAACAGCGCTGGGGGCACTGGCTGAGACGCAGAAGAGGCCGAAGCAACAGCCTGGGCAGAGCAGCAGGTTGCTCAGATTGTGGCGTAGGAGGGCCACTGGCTATGGCAGGGGTGCAAAGCAACAGAACCGTTCGACAGCGGGATACCCTCCTGCTCATTAACCCACCACAAGGGCCTGAAGGCTGCAGGGTGTCCGTGCGTTCAGATACTCTGGTGACCCATGTGGGAAAGAGAGACAGGGAAGGGCACATGGGTGGGTAGGTGGGTGGCTAGGAAAGTGACAATCAGCCTGTGGCTGTAAAATGATTAAATCCTGCTGGGCGCAGTTCTCTGCCCCGTGCAAGACACCAGCAGGAGCTGCGTCAGTAACCCTGAAATGTCCCTGCAGGTGCGGACGAGAGACTGTGCATAGCGGTGGCTGAGTCCCAGGCAGCCCTGAGCCTGCGGTGTTACACTAGCTGCCGGCATGCTTGCTGCCGCCTTGTCCCAGGCCTCCACTGGACACTGGGCTCAGGCAGACTGAGCTAATTATACCCAGACTGTTAACTTCCGTCCTTCCCTTTGGGAGCCTTGTCCTGTGAGTGAGCGGTATGGGTTGACACTGGGTCGTGCTCTCAAAGGAGGCATTCAGGGCATGCAGAGAGGTACCCTTCCCCAGGCACTAGCCCCATGAGAACTCCATGCACTGCTTGTACATCTGCAGCTGGCAGTGCAATGGAGGATAAGCCACGTTGAGTGCTGGTGTGGATGCCACCAAATTGACCTACTTATGGAAGACCAGATCCCCAGCAGCCTAGCTGGCAGGAAAACATGCAGGTTTTGATTCACCAAAAATTCATCATACCAGAGACAAATTGGCACATTGGCACAAAACACGTTTCTAACCAGCTCTAGTTGGGGCTAAACAGAGGCCCTGCAGACTTCAGGGTAGCTGAGGATCTAGCATTGGTGGGAAACCTGAGCATTTCTTCTTACTGCCTGATTGTTTACTTTCCTGTGTCTCAGTATTCCTTTCTCCTCGATCATGTGCTTCCCCCAGCTGGTTGGCTGGGAGGCCTTAAAAGTCACCAGCTGCCTAATTTATTTGACTGTTGCCTGTTTACCTTGCTGCTCTTGAGTTTGGTTTTCCCTGCGAGACTTTTTGTAGGTGCACAAACAGAAAGGAAAAAAACCCCGCTCTAAAAGTGCGGTTAAGCTCTGGCGCAAGCCAGGCCCAGGGAGGACATTCAAAGCATAGAGCCAATAGCACCATTGCTGTGTTGGCCTTTGAGGCTCTTTTCAAGAGATACAGATTACAAAGAAAAAGTGAGCATGATCTAAAATTAGGGGTGATGTTGGGGACTGGTTAATTAATGGCTGGGAAGGTCTGCAGAGTCTGTCTGGATGCTTTTCCTAACCAGCTTGGAACCTTTGCTATTATTATATTATTTGTATCGCTGTGGCTCCTAGGGACCCTGTCATGGTCCAGGACTGCAAGAAAGGGCTACTGTGTTGTCCCCATGCTGCTCACCACAGCCACATGGGCTGGAAACAACAGGGATAGAACTAGGATCCTCCTGCTGCAAAAGCAAAGCCATTTACCACTTGAGCTAAAAGAGAATCTCCGTTAGCTTTGTTTGCAACATAAAGCCTGCGACAAACAGCCTGATTCCAAGCAGCAGAGGGCAGCGGTGCACGTACACTCAAGCTAGTCCCTTACGATAATATTATTGCCAATTATTTATGACAAAGGCTCATCTCCTGAGCCGATTGCTTTGGGGAGATAAGCATTTTTCTGGCTTAGGGCACTGGCTCTCGACAGCTGTGTGAGAAAGCCCACAGCTGGACTCGTGCCTACATCCTGCTTTAAGAGAAAAGGCATCCATCCGACAACCTCATTTGACCTTGCCATGTAATAATGCAAGACCATTTGCCATCAATGGAATTTTCTAAGGGGAGTTTATTGAGGTTTCACAGATGCAAGAGGGATGAATTTGGCTGGTTGCCATATTGCATAAGCAAAGAAAACTATGTCATAGGTTCTAATTCAGCATGCAAATTGCAAGGAACATTTACATCTTTAATTGACATTTAAGAAGATGTCAGCGGCGGCAGCAGCAAAGACAGCTACTCTACCAGCAGACATGCCTCTGTGAAATGTAAGTGCCTGTATATTTAAAAAAAAAAATTAAATGATATCTCTGCAAACGGGTTACCGACAATCTTGTTTAAAAGTTAATTGAATATTCCTTGCAAGTTTGATGTACATTTCTCTTTTGATATAACTGCCTCCTTTGGCAGCCAGGAATTAAAGGGGCGGACTTCACAATGGGCCAAGCTTCAAAAGAGAGAAGGAATAAAATACAAAAAGAGAACTGGATTTTCCAGACATTTCCTGCAATTGCAGTTGCATCTAAGGCTAGTTGAATAGAGCAGGAGTGAGGGAATGCAATGCACACTTGAGAACACTAGGAGAAGGGGGAGAGAAAGAGGAGACTTACAAAATGGTGGAAGCCTTCATGTGTCAATCTGAATCCAGTTCTGCTCTGCAGACTGCTCCCTTACTTCGCACAAAATGCAACCGTTGCCTTTGCTGTTATTTCAACTACTGTAGAGTCACATCTGCCCAATAATGTGGGACATGAAAACTGCCAAGGGTCTGGCTGAAGAGCAAGTACAATTGACAGTGCAAGCAAGAGAGGAATAGAAGGTATGGTCATTTCAGATAGAAAAGTTGCTTTTCTTAATTCTGCTTATGGTGTTTAGATGCTGTGGGCATGCTGGAAACTCCATAGGCAGACAGAGGAACCCTTTGTATGGACTAAATGCAAGACTGCTAGAGAGCTATTGGTACTGTGAGACTACAGGGCACAAGTCTTTATGCAGAGAAGTCTGATTTTAGCACATAAAGGCTTACATAGTGAGATCTGTAATTGCAGATATTAAATTGCACAGTTCATAGATTAAAATGAATGCACTCAGGGGACATGTCTGTTTCAGATAACAAAGTATGGGGTGCTGCTTGGATAAGCAAGGTTTGCCTACTGGTTTTGGTTTTGAAGGAATCTAAACTCTAAGTAAAGGGGAGTTCAAACCCTTAGGAATTGGAACTGCCAGCTTGGCTGCATCCCACTTACAAAACGGATCCTTTCGTGGCTAGAGTTAACAGCCTATTACTGCTATCGGCTAATGGAGTTATTTCTTTAGCTCAGGTTGTGGTGGTCTGTGATGCAATACTGTAGGTCTTTGGTTCAAACCCAGATGATGAGCTGCGGCGGGGGAGTTGTTATATAATGGCTGTAGGGTGACCATATAGCAAGTATGAAAAATCGGGGTGGGGGTGGGGGGTAATAGGCGCCTATATGAGAAAAAGCCCCAAATATCGGGACATCTGGTCACCCTAGATGGCTGACAGATTGGGGACTGAACTGCTGACCTCTAGAACTGAAAGCATGAACTGCTTGACTAAAGAGCTAGAGCTACATACCTGGGGGTAGAAATAATGCATTTCCTTTGTGAATTGGCACAGAGGCGGGCCTGTAGCACCCATCAGTGGCTTGCAATTACATGTATCTAGCCAGTGAGACTCATGCAGCTCCAGTAGGTAACCACGAATGGGAGTAAAACCTGATTCCCTTCTATCGGAGGGTAAAACTTTGTTTAAAGAAATGGATGAAGGTTCGAGGTTCTACCCGGAGAGAGGAGTCTGGTCATGTTGCAGCTATAAGACTATGGGGGCAGGAAGGAAATGCACCAGGGGAAGATGTTCATGAGTCCCAGCTCTTCTCGCACATGGGCGCTTGTGCAATGGAAATTAGTGGTGATCCTTCCTGGGGCTAACAGCTCAGCAGAGCCAGGAAGAGGCAATGCTTGGCGCAAGTTGACCCTGAGATGAGGGGCTTAAGGAATCAACCAGGAGGGCTTGTCTGCTTATTCTGCCAGGAAAGGTCACTTGAGGGAGGAATATTGTGAAAGTGCAAATAGGGGGGCAGGCCGGGAGAAAAATCTGTCAGGGGTGGATGGGGGTGAAGAGAGGGAGAACGCGAGTGCCTCATGGAATGCTAATGTAGCAACTGAGCGAAGTGAGCTGTGCAGGTGAATGGAACAGCAGCAATAAAGGGAGGTGAACGTTCAAGGAGACGGGAAGTCGGAGCGTAGGGTAGAAACCAGCTCCCATTTATGCTGCCAGCAGGAGAGAAGCCTGAGCAGTGACACTGAATTGTTCAGCTTGGTGGCGGCGGCCCTCAGAGCGATTCTCCTTGTTACACTTTCTCAGAGAGGGAACACGGGAATTTCAGCTGGACTGTCAGGGTCAGAAACTCCCACTAACCCCACATCCTTTCTCTCCTGGGAGCTAGTTTCTGAGTCAGGCCGTCAATTTCCAAGCTAAGATTTGGGATACTCTCTCCTTCCGTCCTTCCTCCTCTCTCTGTCTCACCAATCATTATGGTATCTAATCTCAGAATTGCCTTAAACTTAGTGAGGCAAATTCTCCCCTGGGGAGACGTGTTCCAGGACACACGCGTGGGGAGTGCTCATACCAGCTCGTGCATAACGTTAGCTGCCTTGAGTCAATTGCCAATCAGTTAACTCGAGGTGAAAGAGCGCTCCTGCAGGCAAACCCAGTGACACCTGCACTGCACCAGTGGGCACGAGGTAGGGGGAGTGGGAAGTGGCAGGCCTGTGCCCTGAAAGGCTGTCAAGTGCCCATGGTTGTGTTTGTATCAGAGGCTCCAAGCCAAAGGAGACCGATGGAGCCCTGCTTTCCCATTGCTTACCAGCTTTATTAGGTCGGAAGAGGAAGAAAAGAGAAGACGAGATTACAAACAGAACTCCATCTCCATGGCAACCTGCTGCTCAACTTTTAACGTTTCACTGTCCATGGAGAGGTCAGTTCCCCTCTGTATGTTTCCAGGGTTCATTCACAGCAATAGCAGCCAGGGCAGGCAGTTCCTGGCACTTGGGGAGTGACTGGCTTGAGGGGCCTGAGGTTCGCCAGCCGGTCATTAAACGTCAGAAAGTGGGTTTCCTATCCATCCTTGCAGCTTTAATCGTAGATAGCAGGGCTAGGGAGGACTGCATTGTTTTCCTAGGCCACGCTATCTAGTGGTTAAGTTGGAAATTTGGGAGGCACCTGGGTTTTGTTTCTGGCTCTGCTGCTGTCTGATCCTAGGCAAATTCTACCCCTCCCTACCTTGCCCACACTGTGGTTGTCTCCTAAAATTTCCCACTGGTTGCAGCAATAGCAGGAGCCCTAGTGTAGAGAAGGCTCTGGCGTTTTAACCCCTGCAGTATTACATCATCATGACAGCTGCTGACATGATGCTATCTTTACATTTCCCGATACATTCAGGCACTTTTGCTTGTTGTTTTACAAGCTGCTAGAGCTTATGCAGGAAATGGGGCCAGTGTGGGAAAATCAAATCCATGCTTCTGGGCATTAGCTGATAGGACTTCAGAGGTCAGGAAGGTATTCACAACTTCTCCTCCATAGGCAGCAGTTACCCAGGTGGTGTGCAGGGATGGGGTCACCCATTTTTTGGATATATTAGGGCTTGGCCACTTCCAAAGACTGGTCTTGGAAGGGCCACAAGGAAGGGAGACTTTGTGGCATTTCTGGTGGGATCAGGAAACGGAAAGTACCTAAAGTCCCATCTGGGAACCCTTTTCCATGTGACTTCCAGCTTTAGAGAGGTCTGGATAGTTCAGCTAAGAAACCAGGCCTCTGGCCATGCAGCTGAACTCCAGCTCTGAGCCCTTCACTTTTCTCCCTGATTGTTGTTAATTATTTGTATGACCATCGCACCTAGGAGCCCTGGTCATGGACCATTGTGCTAGGCACTGTACAAGCACAGGACAAGAGATAGTCCTTTCCTGCTTCCTAAGCATGGCTCAGAGGCAGAGGTAGCACAGAAGAACACCCTGCAGTGACGTTCTGGGGGCTGATTAGAGCCTGGGCCAAGGCAGACCCTTTCAACCATCTTTTTGGGGGTTGTTTTTTTTCCATCTTGGCAGATCATGTTTTATTGATTCAGAAATAGATGAGTGAAAAGTGCCTTTCGGATCTGAAGTGAAAGCCGCGCTCGGCATTCAGCTGTCACCCACCTCGGCATCAGCTGCCAGCCTCGCACTGTTCCAGGACCCAAAAATAACCCGTGCTGGGTATACGAGGTCCCGTGCACCCTCCTCCTGGAGAGAGAACAATCACTTTGCATCTGTCAGCTAGGAGGGTACACATCCCGGCTATGTCTACAACACTCTGGGAGCTACGGCAGCAAGTGCCAGAATTACGCTGTTCGAGTGCAGGCATGCAAATGCTTCCTGCATCTCCGGAAAGGGTTTTTTCCATCCGTGTAGGTAATCCACCAAACTGAGTGGCGGTAGCTAGGTTGACAGAAGAATTCTTCCATCAGCCTAGCTGCTTCTGGGGTTAGGTGGGCATAGCTGTAGTGCTCAGGAGTGCGTGTATTTTTGACACCTCTGAGCACTGTAGCTAGGTCAGGTTAAACTTTAAGTGTAGGCCAGGCTCCAGGAAAGGTGGTGGGTGTGACTGTCAGTCAACAAGCCATGTTATGTCTCATTAACCCTTCCTGAACTGTTGCCTACCACCAACACCCCTGAGAGCTATTCATTGCTAGGGATTCTATGTCACCATGTGGCTGGAACACCTATTGGGGACTATGCAGAAATCTCTCCCAGGAACTTGTAATGGGAAGAGAGGTGACCTGGGTACAGCTCACAACCAGGGGAGATTGTTATCCAAAGGTTAGAGCCCTGTGAACTTGAAGGATCAGGGTCCTAGTCCCAGCTCCCTGTTGTTGCCTGTAGCTTATCTAATAAATTGTGTCTGATATCAGCAGAGCATGAATTTCTTACAGGCATAGGTGCCAATTTCTCCTCTTCTGCTGGGGGGGAGAGCGCGTAACGCGGCGCACTCAGGGGAGGAGCTGGAGGGGGAGGTGAGCTGGGGTGGGGAGTTTGGCTGCCGGTGGGTGCTGAGCACCCACCAATTTTTCCCCTTGAGTGCTCCAGCCCAGAGTCGGCGCCGATGCTTACAGACAGAGAGCCCGTGAACATCTTCTGACTTCAATAGAGATTGGGGGCACTCAGTGCCTTGCAGGTTTGAACCCTGAATCTCCAAAGATTCAGCAAACTTGTG